TTGCAACTGGGATACGATGACATGTGTCGACCAAGTCAGCGAGCCTGACCACCCAATCCCGTTAGTGGTCTTATACCACAAGCATGGGTTACTGAAGATGAATTTTAACCCGGATCTTCACGGGTTGCATTTGTTAATGAATCACTATCAAATAGCAATGACACCAGGTGTTCACGAAAGTTGAGCGTATCCTGCCCCGGCGGTAGCTGCCGTCCTAAACACATGCAAAGGCTAGTCAGTTGTTCACCTGGAAACATGTGGGAACGTATGGTACAAGTATGGTACAAGTATGGTACAAGTATGGTACAAAGATGTTATCAATGAAAACGTCCAGCATTTCACAGATTGTTTTCTCTTTAATCTCCAAATGACAGTTACAATCAAATGACATCACTAATCACTTTGAAGCAGGGAAGCAATACTTTTTACACTCAAAACACAGTTACTGCTTTACTGTTTGACGATAACAACCACTCTTCTGTGGATGCATTTGATAGTAAGAGACACTCAGATGAACCAGTATAAATTTATATATATATATAAGTTTCACTTTTCATTGCAGCTAATAAGGCATTTGACCTTTGAGTTAATCTCTTTGTAAATGAACTTGTACTATTCCGTAATATACTATTCCAAGACCTTGAAAACCGTACAGTATTTCTACACCAAAGTTGGCGCTGGCGCTTTTTGATTGTTTGGGATTTTTAGAAAATATAGATTTCGAGATCCCACGACAAAAACTTTGACTTAGTCTGGAACCTACGGTAATGTGCATTTCCGGAGCAGATCATGGTAACCATACAATTCTTCTTTACCACACCTGGCACATAGACAGGCCTAGCGCTGAAGTGGGGCATTCTGATAGTTTGGGTATTTCAAAAACTATATTTTTCGACTTAATTTGGACACTGTGGTAGTATTCATTAGTTCCATATCTGTGATTCTTCTTTGCTTTGTCTAACTTAGAGATTTTTGTGTCTTTTGAGTTATATGGTATCCTAAAGATGTCAAGCGTTCGCTCTTCACGCCGAAGTGAGTGGGTGATTTTTAGGCCGCTTTTAGCAATACTCCAGCAATATCACCGCGGGGGGACAGCGGAAATGGGCTCCACACATTGTACCCACTTGGGGAATCGCTTTAACCACTAGGCTACCCCACCGCCCCCGTCACGCCGAAGACCCTGGTTCGATTCCCCACATGGGTAAAATGAGTGGAGCCATTTCTGGTGTTCCCCGCCCTGATATTGCTGGAATTTTGCTGAAATCTAACTCACTCACTATAAGAAGGAAAGCTATACCTTTATATGTACGTTAGGAGAAATGTCAACAATGAAAGCTGCTGATATAAATATGATGAGGTTTATAAATAGTAATATTTTTGAAGTGGTAGGATTGAGTCTATTTAATTTCCCAGTTATAAACTACAATTGTACGATTTACAAGACAAAGTTATATAGATATCTATAGATATATAATCTATTTTGGCTCAAAAGCGGACCGATGAACTATAATCTAATAAGCATATAATACTCAATGAACCGCTAATCCTAATCAAGACATCAGACCAACTCTGTGAGGTTGTTTTTCAGAATTTATGTCCCGAAAATAAAAAAGTTGTTTGACAAACAATCATTAAAAATTTTAACACAGTCCACAGTTTGTTACGAAGGAGGAGTGCAAAAGTTGAAAACAACCAAACTTTGATTAATGAGAGCATTAAATTTGAAATAAAGGGTTAAAGGGCACGGTATAATTAGTTTGTATAATGAATATAAATAAATTGTGGATAAAATATTGAAAATGAATTCTGAATTCCTTGACCCTGACACAACCAGCTTACGGTTGTCACGTGTTGTACATGTGTGAACATATAGAACATGAACACGTTTTCTACAGTCCTGGAGTGGTATCTATATGTTACAGAAATATGTAGAATCAGCAAATATGTATATTTACTGATTTTTTTCAGGGATTAGGCATATTAACTGAAATTTTCAGGAAATATATATATTTACTGAAATCTACACTGATTCATTTTTTTTAATACATATTCACTGAAATGATGATCTGATACAGGTACAGATAGCACATGATCAAAAGTGATCGAACAAACTATTCAAGACCACCTGTATCAACTGTCAGAAGAAGAGAAGATTGTTGTTGTTATTTGCTTTATCTAACACAACTAAGGTATTTCGGCGACGGGGTAGATCACTTAGTAAGAAATGAGAGGGAAAAAAGATAGAAATTTTGAAAGAGTGGTGTTACTACCCAACATATAAAAGGTTAAAAAATGAAGTTGATAAAAAGAGAGAACTCATTTGAAAAGTCAAAAGAACATATATCCATACTTATAACAATTTTTTAAATGGGAAAGTGAGTGAGTGAGTTTGGTATTACGCCGCTTTTAGCAATATTCCAGCAATATCACGGCGGGGGACACCAGAAATGAGCTTCACACGATGTACCCATGTGGGGATTCGAATCCGGGTCTTCGGCGTGACGAGCGAACGCTTTAACCACTAAGCTACCCCACCGCCCCCTAAAATGGTAAAGAGTGGAATTAGTGTATTATTGTTTTTGTTGCTATATTGTTTGGTATAATTTTGCATGAATAAGATATTTAGTGATTGGTTTAAATAATTTGGGGTTTGTTAGAATGTGCTTGAGATCATAAGAGTAAGCATTGTTGAGGTGTTGTTTTAAAGCATTGATAAATGGGGTTGTTTGTTTATTATATTTGAGCAGTAAAAGTGTGGGCTATTGTTTCAGGAATTTGGCAAGTGATACATTTGCCGTTTGGATAAAGGTTGATATTGTGTAGATAGTGATTAAGATTGCAATTAGCTAATCTTAATCCGGTTATGGCAACATCATTTCGACGTGTTTGGTGATAATACTTACATTTTGTATTTAGTGTTTGTTGAATTTAGTAGAGTGGATAATGTTTTCCTATTATTTGCCAGTTATACTTGAATTTATTATTATATTGTTAACTTTATTTGTTAGGTCTGTTTGGAGTAAGGTATTTTTATCTTGTTTTTTGAGTAGAGTCCAAGTTAGAGGAGAAGGAGTGTAACTACCAAAGGTGTAGTTGTGAAGCCGATCCTTTCAAAACACTTCCGTTCACGTGCCCAGAGACACCTGACAGAGTTAGTCGCCTCTTACGATAAGCAAGAGTTACTGAAGATCAATTCTAAGCCGGACCTTCACGGGTCTGCAGTCTATGAGACACGACCAGGGATTGTGTGGAAAGCAGTGTTATTCTAACGTTTACTCATCATTCGTTGAGAAATAACATCTGAATGAACTTCCTATTTTTAACTGAGACTTTGAAATGTTGGAGTGTAGGGATTCGGAACATGAAATTAAAGATAACCCGCATTTAACATCTCACTGTCAACAATATGAAAATAAAAAAAATATTGCAACGTCTATGTGCTTCATATGCGGACGGTGAACCAAATTATCGGAGAATTTATTAACTCAGTTGCCAAAACAATCCGCATGAATATTAAAGAATGAAATGTATTTGACACTACTTCTTGTTTATTCATACTTATATTTGAGTGAAATAACAGCAAAAAACTCAGGAAGGTGGGGAAAAGACCGGCCAGATATATATTTGGGTGGGGTATTGTCCGGGTAGGGAAATGGTAGGTGGAGAATTGACATGGTGGGGAAATGACCGGATACCCTTCTATTTGAACCTTTGAAATTGACCAGTGTTTGCCTTGAAAGGAAGTGTAACGGTAAAGATCGTTTATAAATGGATGTTTTGGGGGAAGGTCAACACCCGATGATGATGATGATGATGATGATGATGATGTAGAGAATTTACGTGAGTTTACCGACATGATGCGTACGTCGCACTCGGGCTCGTCGGCCCATTTAGTGTCAGATTTTGAACAAGGGTGATTTTAACCGAATGATCGGGAAGCCGCCTGGCTGAGTGGGTTAGACGGCTGACTTTGTGTCCTAGCGATTAGGAGCCTGACTCTGAGAGTCTGGGTTCGAACACCGGATGGGACTCAATCCAACAAAAGTACTAGAATTTTTTGTACTTTACCGAGAAAGTGTAACAATATAAAACGTGAACACCAGAAAATTAGCAGTTTCGATTATCTATCACAACAAATCCTATTGAACGTGTACAGGTCCACCCGTAACAAAATCCCTGTATGTTTTGTTATGATTAGAATTATAGGTGTTTGTATTTGCTGTTAACAATTAACCAAAATGTTCTCATCTGTTTTGCAGTAAGTTTTAGCTTGTTATCAAAGATGATGATCGCTGGCATTGACATGTTGTTTTAACGATTAGCCAAGTTGTCTTACCCGAAAGCCGACCAAAGTCGTTAAATACACACCCTGCCCCAACAAATGTCTTCACCATCAGTGGTCACTTAAACCGGTCATTGCCCCTTCCCAAATTAGAGACGTTCATCAATTAACGTTCTCGCCTCTCCAAATTACATTGTAGTGGTCAGAGTGGTCACCGGATACTGGCTAACGTAAATAGTGGCGGGAATCAAGCTGACCATACATTCATTCATCAGCAGCGTTCAGAACAGACACTGAAACCGTGCAGAAGTATGGCAGATGCAACATTGTCCAGCCTCTAACAGATTACGACGCCAACTACGCGACACTGGTAGATACAGCTGTGAGTTCCCTCGTGAACAGTCATATACCTCTGCTGGGCCACCTCTGTGGAGATCTCCCCCACAAAGTGGTCTGGAAGATGATGGTGAGTATTATACTGAAACCTAGTCATTAGGCTATATGCATGCTAGTTTTATTGAAGCACAACCAACTAATAGTAGATGGCACAGCTAAAGGATTTTAATGTGTAACTTCAATTTTATTAAATTTTATTTCACTTAAACATGTACAAAACATCTTTTGTATTTGGCTTTGTTTACGTACATGTACACAATATCTAAATGTATATTTTCAGTACCTGAGCTACCACCAGCTGAGAGTACAAGACAGGTGCACAATGCTGAGTGTCGTCACGGACTACATCATTCACAGTCCTGGCCTCCTGGAGAGAGCTGTTACAAAACCAGGAACCAATCCTTCAGATATCATCCGCGTTTTGGCCCAGTGTTGGCAAAACACCCTTCCTTCCGGAAAGAGAGGTAATATCTTTTTTACAATCACGTGTGTTGTTATATTTTTAAAAGACTTCATAATTTCATAACATTCATTCATTATTTCATTACATGTTTGAATATTTGTGTTTTATTTATAGGTTTAGATGTTCAGTCTTTCCACAACCTCACGGCAACCCTGGCCAGATGCGCATCGCAGCTGAGGACCTACCACCTCCACGATCCTTTCAAAGTAGTACTCAAGCAAGCCATGCGACTGAAAGAGCAGGCCTGTGCTGACCTTGGCACGATGTGTTTTCCAACTATCGAGCCCAACTTTCCACGGATTGCTGAAATGTCCTACAACAAGATGAGAAGGTTCCGCTCTCAGGCAAACCTTGTTCCCGTGGCTGCGACTTTGCCTGCATATCCCTCACCAGCCCATCAAAAACTTCTTCCCCGTCAAGTGCGCCCAGTTTATCAACCTTTAACAATTCGACAGAAGGTCTCAACGCCGGTTCGCTTGCTTCATTCCGTTCGACCACAGCCGCCCCGATCCACGGCTTCATCAGCTATACGAACCACTCATATCTTAGCTCGCAAGGTCCTGCATGCATCAGCTCAACGAAACATTGATACATCAGTTCCCAAGCTCCTGCCTGCACCACACAATCTTCCTGCTTCAACTAGCAAGAATCCCTCTACCCTGGCTCAACAAAATCAACCAACACAGGTTCGAAAGGTGTCCCCACAGAACCCATGTGTACAAGCTCGAGAGATTCCATCTTCACCATTTCCCGCGTACACCTCTACCCTGGCTGCACAGAGTCCATCTGTAACGGTTCCTATGTCCCCTCCACCAGCTCGACAGATCCCATCTACACACACTCAACAGATGCCATCTACCCCATTTCCCGTGTACTCTTCAACCCTCTCTCGGCAGAACCCGGCTGCAACAGTTACGAAGCAGCCTTCCTCTCCGTCTACAACTAGTAAAGGGTTCCCGTCTTCCCGACACAGCACGTCCAGCCCAGTTCGACAGACCCCGTCGTTGGCCCCTGCGACAGCCGGCTATACCCTTCAGCGACGACGACCATACACACCAACACGCCATCAACCAACTACATCAATCAAAACCCGACCAGCACCTCATGCTCCTCAACCAATTCCGTCTGCTTGCGTTGGTTCTTCAGCTACTCAAACAAGAAACCTTGCTACATCACCTCAGTCTGCTAACAGACTCACCAGCAACCAACGGCTGTTGATACATGCTGAATTGAGAAGACTTCATCTTGTCTCTTCAAGTCCAGCTATGCCACGGCACACACCAAGGATGTCTCTCACCCCCAACAAGCAACCCAACACATCAGCAGCAGCCTCAGGAGCGCCTGTCCTTCATCATGCACAGAAGAGATTTGCAGAAGCCAGACAGTCTGTCTACAGACAGACACAAGTCAGCACTCTCCACCCAGCAGACAGAACCGTGACCAAGGAGCTGTTTTTCAACTAGAAGCCGATATGTAAACACTGTACGATTCACCCATTTCTCACCATTGAACAGATTAACTATTGGACGTTTTTATTTTATGTTTTGTGAATTGAGAAGTATCGATACACAGAATTTCAGCTACGACGTGACTGATAAACATGTATTGTCCTTCATAGAAGCGTACATTAAATATAGTATCTGTGTCATGTTTTGGTTGTGTTTATTATGCTGCCAGAAAGTATGCAGCCAAGGGATCACAACCCTTGGCGTTGGGAATAATCCATCTGATCCTCTTAAACTCTCTGACCAAACACAGCGTGTTACATTTCTAGGACTCTATTGGGACATTTACTTTACACACACTCACTTGGTTCTATTCACCATGAATATACCCCAGACTGCACTATTTCACTGTAAGGCCATACATCCTACTGTCGTAGTGTAATAATGTGTACCGACCCTTCATTGTCAGTTCCTTAGGACAGACAAGGATGCACAATGTGTAAATATGATGTGAGTTAAACTAGAGTAATCGTACCATTCTTTATAGAATTATGAGAGCCCGTAGGAGATAAATCTAAAATACAAACTTTTATTACAAGGATGTAAGATGTACAGCATTCAAAAAATTAAAAACGATCTTCTTTGCACTAAAATTAGGTAGCGGGGGTTTGGTAGTATGATATATAACATTTCCATCAAATAGTGAAAAGCAAAACTTGTATACATCATACAGCGCTTCACATGCAACAATTGTCAATTGAGTCTGACATTCTAAGTTGAAACGTAAATCTATGTAATTGCATTAACATATACCCAATCTGTCCATATATACTCAATCTGTTAGGGTCCATATTTACAAGTAGCCAAGAACATTTCCCACTGTGATACCTTGATGGGTGTCCAGCCCATTTCACTATTTACAGCATCATTTGGTGCATATTTACCAACATCAAGAACATACCTACAAGCACGGTGCTGCACACTGAACTCTTTAGTGCCCCTAATAGCATTGTTACAGGAGAATTAGTGAGGTAAACAGGTTAGTTAATGCGTTAAAATGCATACCTCCTATAACTTTACTACATGTATTAGCTATAACAAGACCCAGTGCCTTGCTGGCAGGCTGAGAGACACAGTTTTAACTGTAGCATTAAATCCAAATATCCATCTAAAAGCATCCATACATATCTGGTATTTCTAAGTCAGTGTCAATACACCTAAAAACTGCTCGATACTAGGATTTTGAAAACGATTTTGCCCGCATTAATTTGACGCAGCGAGTATTTAAACAGTCAAGGAGCAGCTGTAGGTCGGATTTTTTCTGCAAACAAGATCGTCGACATTCAAGAGAACACATACTTAACTATTTCTATCACACCAGATCCTAGGTGTTTGGATCTATCCGCTATGTCATTGATATAAAGAAAGATAGATAACAAACACCGTTGACTCTAAACAACTTGTGACGTTCCTGTAAATACACTGTAGTTCATTCAACCCACGCCAAAGGATGGGCTGACTAACTGAAATACCGAATACAGAAATCGAAGATATTTTTGTCCTCCTGGTTTTTATTATAGACGCCAGAGTTGAGAGATGGTCAACTGCCCCGCCTCCTCTGAACCCGTTTTGCGCATCGGCAATTACTTCATTGTCCTCACAGTTAGTCTGTTCGTCAGGATGGTACAATATAGCATGTATACAACAGACGCCAGAGTTGAGAGATGGTCAACTGCCCCGCCTCCTCTGAACCCGTTTTGCGCATGGCAATTACTTCATTGTCCGCACAGTTAGTCTGTTCGTCAGGATGGTACAAAATAGCATGTATACAACAGACGTCAGAGTTGAGAGATGGTCAACTGCCCCGCCTCTTCTGAATCCGTTTCGCGCATCGGCAATTACTTCACTGTCCGCACAGTTAGTCATTTCGTCAGGATGGTACAAATAAGCATGTATACAACAGACGCCACAGTTGAGAGATGTTAAACTGCCCCACCTCTTCTGAATCCGTTTTGCGCATCGGCAATTACTTCACTGTCCGCACAGTTAGTCTGTTCGTCAGGATGGTACAATATAGCATGTATATAACAGACGCCAGAGTTGAGAGATGGTCAACGGCCCCACCTCTTCTGAATCCGTTTTGCGCATCGGCAATTACTTCACTGTCCGCACAGTTAGTCTGTTCGTCAGGATGGTACAATATAGCATGTATATAACAAACGCCAGAGTTGAGAGATGGTCAACTGCCCCGCCTCTTCTGAATCCGTTTTGCGCATCGGCAATTACTTCACTGTCCGCACAGTTAGTCATTTCGTCAGGATGGTACAATATAGCATGTATATAACAGACGCCAGAGTTGAGAGATGGTCAACTGCCCCGCCTCTTCTGAATCCGTTTTGCGCATCGGCAATTACTTCACTGTCCGCACAGTTAGTCTGTTCGTCAGGATGGTACAATATAGCATGTATACAACAGACGTCAGAGTTGAGAGATGGTCAACTGCCCCGCCTCTTCTGAATCCGTTTTGCGCATCGGCAATTACTTCATTGTCCGCACAGTTAGTCTGTTCGTCAGGATGGTACAATATAGCATGTATACAACAGACGTCAGAGTTGAGAGATGGTCAACTGCCCCACCTCTTCTGAATCCGTCACGTTGTTTTTCACATTCTTCCTGACCATATAAGGTGTTGCAGCAAATTGTCATTCATGTTTATGTTTAGATATCCCACGATGTAGTTACACGCAAAATAGTATCTACTCTATTCTTGTAAACGAAAAACCTGAAAGTCGAGTTGATTGTACAATTTTGACTGTATCATGAATATGTATTATATGTTTCCCAGTATTACAGCGCAGTGATGTGGTTTGTAAACAATAGAGTCTGAAGTGATGTTAACATATATAACAGCTTGTTCACCAATCACCAATAAATTATATTGAAATAAACGTGAGGGTTATTGTGGCGGACCAGTACGGGTGTTATGATAGACCTCCCATAGAGTGTCATTGTAAATGTTCACAATCCGTTAGGAATAGAGTCAGTTGTACGTTTGTAACTGTATGATGAGTATGTGCGTGTGTGGTTGACGCCGGTATTACAGCTGTACGACGCGGCCTGTAAACAACAGAGTCTGGACCAGGCAATCCAATGATTGACACCATGCGATACGATGACAGAGCATGTGTTAATGAGTGAGTGAGTTTAATTTTACGCCGCACTAAGCAATATTCCAGCTGTATGGCGTCGGTCTGTAAATAATCGTGTCTGGACCAGACAATCCAGTGATCAACAGCATGAGCATCGATCTACACAAATGGGATACAGACAGACAGACAGACAGACAGACGATTTTTTATTCAGTATAAGACCTTCGGCCCAAAATACAGAAAGTTGCGCTTTATAAAAGGATATGTTAAGAGCAGATGTTAATTTTGGCATGATGTGCATGTGAATTCTCATGTGAATTTGTAAACGTTTGAATGACCAAAGATCAAGCTTTCGACAGTGACAGCAATTTCTGAGTTTCGCATGTTGTGTGCAGCTGCACAGGCTGAACGTGCAGTAACACATTGCAAGTCCATAGGCCACCATCAATGACGTCACGTCGCCTGGCACCTGCATGAGCGTTTGATTGTCTCCAATACTTGCTATGTTCACACCTTTATTTATGTATAAAGACACTGTCTGTCTATCTTTATATTTTCTGTGTGCACAGTTTCTTTATGTGGCCAGTATATATTACTTTGCCTTATTTGTTGTGCTTTATATAAAAAGATTGAAGTTTTATGCAAAATATCATAATTATGAGAAGAAATTATAGAAATAAAGTCATGTTGGGAGTTAGAATTGATGTATTTACCAATAAGTGTATTACGGAAAACACTATAAACTTCACAGATTAATAGTACATGATATTTATTTTCAATAAAATACCCTTTGGGGATAAACTGAGAGGACAGAGTATTTCTTCGTAGAGGGGTGGTGGGCTTGGTGTCTTCCAGCGTTGACAGCTATTCTAAAGTTACTGCATCTGAAGCGTGATAAAATCCTTTTAACTGAGATGGGAGTGATGAGTTCAGATAGTATTCAACAGTCAGTAGGGATTTATATTGTTTATATGAATAAGAGTCTGATAAATTATTTACATTTACACCCCATGTTTGTTGTAGGTTGTCAAGTAGTCTCTGCTTGAACATTGATAAGAAAACATTTTTGTCACCAACATCTTGGGACATCCATGCATTTCCAAATCCAAATCTGAACAAAATATATTTAATATTAGTAGCATAAAAGGTGCGTCCAATATCATCAAGGGCAGTGGGCATCCTATAGCACTGGTTGGGGAGTCTCCCAGGGACCATTTGTATCGGCCTGCACCAGTACTTGACAGCTCGTCATATACATGTATGTAAGCTGCAGTGGGGCTCTATCACATTCACCTAGCACCATTACATTACATGTATTCCTTGACACTTTGAGAAACGATTTGCACATTTTCACATTAACATCTTCAATTATTTTGCTGTAATGCATGCCGGTGTCCATATCAGTTTGGGTGTAAACATAATACCCAAATATCTGTAGAAGGGTACAAGTTCACTGTTTTTGCAATTGTAGGTCCACTTTTCATAATTTCTGAGGGGTCCACCATTTCTAAAGACCATGACTTTGTTTTCTTCAAGTTAACTTTCCTTCCAGTTTCTAAGCAGATACTTTTAATTATTTTGCAACTGGGATACGATGACATGTGTCGACCAAGTCAGCCAGCCTGACCACCCAACCCGTTAGTGGTCTTATACCACAAGCATGGGTTACTGAAGATGAATTTTAACCCGGATCTTCACGGGTTGCATTTGATAATGAATCACTATCAAATAGCAATGACACCAGGTGTTCACGAAAGTTGAGCGTATCCTGCCCCGGCGGTAGCTGCCGTCCTAAACACATGCAAAGGCTAGTCAGTTGTTCACCTGGAAACATGTGGGAACGTATGGTACAAGTATGGTACAAGTATG